GTGTAAGGGGAATAGGCACAGTAACTAACCACTTGAAAAGGTGAGAGCAAATGCTTCTCAAATTGGATCATGTGACAATACTGGATGGACAATTAAAAGAACCTGTTTTTTTCCCCTTTCAGCAGTGTAGCCATAACTCTACATCTTATTAAAAACAAGGCTAAACTCCATCTTGAAAACTAATTCTTCAGAAAATATGAATACCCAGGCTGGTATCTCAAAGGGCTAGGGTTCATGTTTTGCGTGAGGGAAGTCTGGATTCCGTCACTAGCGACACTGAGTATGGCCCCCCAAGACATACACAGTATATGTAAATATATTATTTAAGTAGAGTCATGACAAAAAGGGACCATCACGAAGAGATCCATTTTCATTTCTTTTAACTACAGCTCTGACTTGTGCTCTATGTCTTAGGACTCCCGGCCATTTTGGTTCAGTGATTATCACAGACACACCTCAGACAAACTCTTCAAGAGCAGACTTTAATATCCTCCTCCAGGATCACTGGATGGCCCTCACATGAGCGAGCTCGCAGAGACTGCGTTTCTTCCCACTAAGGTACTCAGACGTAAGTATAATTTGCTTATTTGTGTCTCTCATTAGAGTACCTGAGGAACATAAACTATATCTTAAGTAATTTTGAGTTCCTGAGTGCCTAAAATAATACTTAGATCATCAGACAGAATTGTCAATGAGTGCAGTAGCAGGTAATCAAATACAAGTATTCCCATCTTTTGGGAGATGTGTGCAGAAAGTAGATAAAGGACCAAACATGATAACCTCTCAGGGTCTGTATTGCAAACCATAATGCCCAAAAGTAGAGAGAGATTTTGGGGAATCATGTCTGCCATGGAGGCAGAGGGAGGGTGGGAAAGGGGGGTTATGCCAGGGATATTGGTGGTGAGGAATGTGCACTGGTGGACGGATGGGTATTAGATCATTGTGTGATTGTAACCCAAACATGAAAGCTTATGACTAAAAAAGATTCCGATCTTTTTTTTATAATCTCCAAAATATAGATGTATGACAAAAAGGAGGCATTTTTTTCTTTCAGACAAATATTCTAGAGAGTCTGATAAATTAATCATACAAAGAGACAGAAATACCAAAGATTGAAACTTCGTCGCTTATCTTTTTCCACAATAATGTCAAAGATATAATAATGTCTTTACCTGTAATGAATAAAATAAAAATTTGCATGATGATTTTATAATACCAATCTTACAATTTTGTCTTACTCCTTTGAACAGATGAAATTGCTGAAAATTCAATTAGCTCTTTGCTAAGAATTAACAAAATATATATCATTAAACAGTTTGGGAAAACACATTTATTATCTGGTAAGAACTATGTTTTTATAAGCTGTTTTAAAAAATACATATCCTGCAAAACATAATCAACACAAATGTGCTGTATTATGCTATGATATTAACAGCTTCCAACTGTTTTCCAAGAATCTAAAGCAATAATGTGAATTTCTTTCAGTAGGGCTGTAGTTTAATTTTTTTCCAGGAAAGTATTTTTAATAGGATTACTGACCCTTTTAACACTCTTGGAAAGAAAATGAATCCCATGCGCATTCTGGCATATAACTATTATAAAAATAAATAGAACAGTCAATCAGTAAAAACGGTAATGGACTTGAGAAACTAAAGCTAATAACGAACTGTATGTTAAGTATATGCGATGATAACCACTTTAGCAAAATTATTCCATTGCATATCAAAAAAGTAAAATAAAATAAAATGACCCCAAAATAAATGAAGGTATGGGAAGGGGAAAACTTTGAGGAAATATCTTATGTCTTTCTTAAAATAGAACCACCTTCACTGGATCAATTCTTCTGGCTATCACTCAACTCTTAGTCCTGTTTCATATTAAAATGTTTTAGGGGTATGAGTAGGGGGACTGCAAGGACATTTACTGATTTAAGGCACATTTTTGCATTCGCAATTCGGTGCTTTAAGAGGAATGTTTTTCAGGTCATTAGTTTATAATGTGAAGTGGAGCCTAGGGATATTTTGAAAGGGGAAAAACCCAGTGCTCAGAGATGCAGTTTATGTGACATGCGTCATCATTTATTTCAGCTCAATTTGGGGCCCAAAACTAAACTCAAAACGAAGTCATCACATCTGCAGCAGTTTCTTTCTCAGCATGCAATGATTGTACAGAAATCTGAAAACACAGTCAAAACCATACCCCCAAAACAAAAACATTATAACTTCCTGAAAGTCTTAATGCCCTTGCAAGAAGTTCTTACCATTTCATAGCACCAAAATTAAATCAGTCATACAAATAATTTCCAAAATACCTGTATTAATATCAAATAATCCACTAAAATGCCACTGGCATACCAGAAGACAGTTATTTCTGGCAGTTTTTTGTTTTGTTTTGTTTTGTTTTGCTTTTGCTTTGCTTTGAGGCCACACTCAGAGTGCTGGGGGATTATTCCTGGCTCTGCACTCAAGAATCATCACTCCTGGTGGGTCTGTGGACCATAGGTAATGCCAGGCATTGAACTCAGGTTGGCAAAATGCAAGGAAAGAACAATAGCCACTGTACTATCTCTGTGGCCCCAATTTCTGCCAATTTTATATTTGTTCCCACACATCATCCTCTCCACTTCAAGATGCCATGTTTGGGCTCTTAAAATAGGAACTAAATCATTGGCAAGCACCTATTTAAATTTTGTATAAAAAGTCCTATACGAAAAGAAGACTTGGTCATAATCTTATTCACTGCAATTCAAAATCCCTTTAGTATAAATGAAACAAATGTCTGCACTTTTATTTAAGTGAAAATAAAAGTTGTAGATATTCCATCTTGCACAGTGAAAGAAATACATAATAAGCAATTTCCCTTTCTTCATAATGAACACCTTCTTTCTCTCTGGTTAAGGTATGAGTCATGTCTTAAGAGGGAGGTACTCCCAGAGTTTCTTTACCTCTGGGATTACGTAACTCTGTTCTCAGTCTTGGGATCACTTTAAACTCACCAAACGTTCTTTTACAAATAACAAGATTCCTAGACGCCAGCTATGATTTAGAGTGGGCGCCAACATCAGTATTCTCAAGAGTGCCAAAAAGATGGAAACCAAAGGGTCAATGACCCCAAAAGGAACAAGTCTCTGAGCAAGCCAAAGGCAATCTGAAGCAGGACCAAGAACAAAGATGAAAGATAAACTCAAATGACTACCGGGGCCACTTACATTAATGAAGCAGGCAATTTATATGCAATTTTTCAGAAAGTGTGAGCGCCAGAGAGGGTGACAAACTCACAGAGTTTGTTTAGCTTCTGAAGTTCTAGCAGAAATTGACAGAGAAGTTATAGTTTCTCCCTTACTCAAAACACACACACACACACACACACACACACACACACACCCACACACACGATCACGATCACAACCATCTTGTTGTTCGTCGATTGCCTCGAGCAGGCCCCAGTAACGTCTCCTTCGTCCTAGCCCTGAGATTTTTTAAAAAGTGCCATACTAAAAGCTCTTCCAGGGTTAGGAGAATAAGACCCATCATTGTTACTGGTATTTGGCATATTGGGTACACCACGGGGAGTTTGCCAGACTCTGCCGTATGGGCAGGTTACATTCGGTAGCCTGCCATTTTGTCCAAAGTAAGAATGAGATAATAAGGTGTTGCGCGGCCGCTCGCTTCCGGGAGCTGGGTTTTATAGTCTCTGGGTCTTGGCTATTAATGGGATTACATGGTGCCAGGGGGCCAGTTGGTGGGTGTGACCCCTGCCTACTGGAATTTGGAGGATCTGGGTGGAGGATGCTCAGCCCCAATCTGAGCAGGCTTGGAGATCTCAGCCCTTGGACCCGCACGCCTTTGTTCCTCTGCATAAAGGTACCGGCAGAGGCACGCACACACACACACACACACACACACACACACACACATTCAAAATTTAAAATGGGGACTCTATTAAACAATATTAACACTCTGTAGGGTAAACACACTATAGGGGTTTGGTCTATCACAATGAGTTTCTCATTTCTAGTCTAAAGGGTAGAAACAATAACATCACTATCATTACAACAACACAAACACGCACTCATTTTGTAAGTCCCCTTGACAAATACTCACATTGATGACCTCAACTAACTTCCATCAACCTTTGAATTATAGACCTTTATTCTCCCTTTATTCTTGCTTTATTCAGTAAATCCACCATCACACTAATGACTCTGAAGCGTTGGAGGCAAATGCTGGGATTCAAATGTAGCCAGTGTCTGCCACAGCATACAGCAGATTGTATTTTTTTTCAAGTTTTAAATATGCTTTAACAATCTCCAGTGATAACATATATGTATTCAAAATTGAGCGATGAGAAAATACTAATTATTTTTTTTTTTTGCTTTTTGGGTCACACCCAGTGATGCTCAGGGGTTACTCCTGGCTTTGCATTCAGGAATTGCTCCTGGCGGTGCTCAGGGGAACATATGGGATGCTGGGAATAGAATCCAAGTTGGCTGCATGCAAGGCAAACACCCTAACCGCTGTGCTATCGCTCTAGCCCCAAAAAATACTAAATGATTTCTCAGGTTCAATGACTATTCTCAAGTTCAATGACTTTGATTCCAGACTAAAACTCTTGGTTGTATTACGATATGGTTATTTATATGTATCTGTTGCAAGCTGCCCTGATGATAATTACTTGGTCAAGAAAATGGAGTGACTATTTATTAATTAGCCTGTCTGGAACGGCATCAAAGATAGATATGATCATAATAAAATTGTTCTGGACTTCAAATGCCATAAAAGAGCCAATTCTCCATTTCACCCTTGTTTTATTGTTGTTGTTGTTATTGTTTTCTGAGCCATACTTAGTAATGCTCATACGTTACTCTTGGCAAGATGCTCTGAACCTATCGCAGCAGTGATACCTATCCTCAGGGGACCATGTGGTGCTGGGGATTAAACCCCAGAATCTTTCATGTGTTCAAGCTCTTTGAGCTGTTTCCCCAGCTTCATCCACTTTACCTTTTAAAAGATGAGTAAAAGTGCTCAGAAATTCTTCATAGGTTTGCTCATGACAACTGACAAACTTTTCGAGAACATCTTCAACTGATTGCTCTTCACCCATGATCTCCAATGCAGATATCTGGGCAGGCATTCCTATTCACAAGGCCACTTTATCTAAGAGACAAAGGAAAGTATGAGCTAGAGAGTAAAATAAGACACCAGTGTCTATGAAAACACTAAAGGTGGGAGACAGAAGGAGTTCAAGTCTCCAAAAGAACAAATTAAGACAATAGAGCAATAAACTCTGCATTAAGACATAAGAATTTTACCCAAATTCTGAATGCTGAATTTCTTAAAAACCACAACTGAATTTCGCTTCAGCTTCCCTATTTCCATCTTAACTCACTGGAATATCATCACAAAATTGCAGTAGATAGACGAGTTTTTTGAGTGAGGTACCCTTCACAGAATATGTCAACCTCTCATCCATCCAATGACAAAAACAATTTTTTAAAAGTTTTGTTGAATTAAAGAGCCATCCTTTATGAAGTTATTGATAGATGCACCTTAAGCATATAATATCCCAACCCAGTGTCACCACCAGTGTCCAAAAGTATTAGTCAACATTTATTAGCTATTTATTTAGAACTCATGATAAACAAGTGCTATTCTGAGAACTTTCCTGGTTTGTTTCTGTTTTGTTTGTGGGGGGGGGGGTGTTGTTTTGTTTTGTTTTGTTTTGCTTTTTTCTCTTTGCAGTATCAGGGGTCAAACTAGGCCATCATCACACACCATGTGTAAGGCATGTCCCTAAGTCACATCCCCGGCTCCTGTTCTCAGCACTTAAATGGTAACTTCATACAACTTAAGCAGGGTTAGGGATATTGCACAGTGGTAGAGCACTTGCTTTTCATGTGTGAAACCTGAGGTTCAATCCCCAGTACCCCCCAGCACCTACCAAAAATCCTAACAACCCTTGCCCAGTTAACAGCCAGCAGGTTAAAATTGCCATTCTTAGGAGCCTAATTCCAGGGCCTGTGACCTTAATCACTTCCTCAAGCTTAAGCCTCTGCATTGTGTGATAACCATTTACTCATGCCTGTGCTATTGCATTACTGCTGCCTAACAGTGGACCTGTCTGAGCACCAATGTATCTACCAACTGAGAACTCTGAACATTCCAGAGAATCTTCAGGAAAGCTCCATTAAAGACTCCCTCCAAAACTGGGCCTAAATATCTCTCCCTGTACACTAACCCAACTACCCCTGAGCCCCATAGGATGGTAGTAAATAATTTTAGTCCTACGTGTACCTGACATCCTTTCAAATGCTTAGAAAAGTCTATGTTGTCCTTTCTTAGTCTTCTCATTTCATTCACTGAAATAGAATTTCATTTTCAAAACCCCGCACAGATTTTGTTTCTCTCTGAAGGGTTTAGTCATCCATCTCCCATTAGCCCCAGGGAGAGCTAGTCAGAATGTCTCTTAATGCCTTGCTTTAGGAATAGTTGTGTTCATTTCTGTGTTATTAGACCTGGCACCCATTAAGGGCAAGATCCACATCTTTTCATCGTTTTATCCCAGATGCTTAATAGCTTAAGTTATGGCATTGGCTAGCAGTCAATCAATACTAATAAAGAATAACCGATTTGAACAGGTACTTTAGTCAAGTATTGCTAAAAGTTGGCAAAACATCCAACTACAACTGCCCAATCACTTCACCTGTGACCTTATGTGACATAACTTCAAATATTTTCACCTCCTGATCAATCTCCCTGAAAAAGTCTTCTCACTAACCATACCGCATGCTTTTAAAATAAGCCATGTAGAAATTAGGACAAGACTTCAAATATGGTCTACACATAATGAGATCTAAGTTTCTCATTCTAAGTATTGCACTCCTATTCAATAGCTGAAAATCCCATTCTTCTGCTGGTAGCACCCTTCACACTGACAGTTTATACTGTCAGCCTAAGATGTAATATGTAAATCCTTGGCACAGTTTGAACTTTTTTACTTGTAATATTCCATCCACTCTGTAAGAAATCTCATTCTTGCTTAGTTTAGAATTAACCTACTACAGAAAGCTGAAGAGCTAAAGAATAATTACTAAAGCCTTCCATATAACTACTGGGGAATAATATAAAGAGGCATTTTTCAATATTGCATTGCTAGAAGAGAACATACTTCATTTCTTCCCTTTTGTGACTCAAAATAAAAATCTACCCATTACTGAACTTTATTTGGTACTTAACAAAAAGCCTGTTAGAAAAAAAAATGCTTCTAACCTCATTTAACAATAATACCTGTTCTCAGCTAACATGAAGGTACTTAATAGTTTTTATTTATTCTTTTTAATGAGACTATTTCTCAGAGGGAATACTTGCTTTTTTCTTCTGAACTTGCTTTTAAAGTATTTTACCAGACTCACTGAGATTTTGTGTGAGACAGATAGAATTTGCATCAATTGTCTTTCTACATACACTCCCAGAACACTCCAAACATTTCCAACCCCAACGGTTTTAAATAAGGAATCATGGGGGAAAGAGAGATAGTACAGCTGGTAGGGTATTTGCCTTATAGCCAGGGTTCAATCCCCAGCACCCCATAAAGTTCTCTGAGCCTGCCAGGAGTGATCCCTAAGCACAGATACAGGAATAGGACCTCAGGACAACCAGGTGTGGCCCCAAAACAAACAAAAATGAAATGTTAGCAAAGATGATAGTGACAGTTGTTAATCAGACTTAGAATTTTGTCCTTTGCCTACCCAAAGAGGTACACAGACAGGGACCTCTCTTGACTCTATGGTATTGATATTACCTAAAGATAAAACAATTCTAGGTGAAACATGGTGGGCGGGAGGAGACCAGCTGAAAATAAAAAGCATAGCTGTGTACCAACTCAAAATAAAAGAATCTGTTTCAGGCTATTCGTACCTAAAAATCAGATATTGGAAAAGCCATCAGTTACAGCTTATGCAAATTTATCTGCAACACCGCCAGCCTTCACCAATCCAAAATTTAATAAATTATGCCTGCAGTTGATAGATAATGATGATAAAAGCACTCAAAGTTGGTTATTATTTTTTGAGCATAGGATACGTGCTTAGAAAAATTAGAAAAATGTCAATCTGCTTTTCAGAAGTGGACCCCACAAAATTCCAACACTCCATTATGTCAGGGTCTTCCTCAAACCATCTGGGTCATCTACTTCAACAAGCAAATCCCAAACTGAAAGAGCCAGTTTGAATTTTTATATTTCTGCACATGACTTCTGAAAGATTCTTTAAGAGTGATAATAAACATTTCTTAAGACTTCTTTCCAATTCTCAATTTGATTTGTTTTGAGGATCTAGACTCAACACTACTCACTTTTTACTAAAGAAAAGTAATGGACAGACTGTTCAAAGCACGAATTCAAAATTCTTCGAGGCTTTCATTTTGTGTGGTTATCCCAGTACGAGGAGGCTATGTTCTTAACTGATTTGGGGGGTGAGTGGGTGAGGATGGAGGAAACTGTTGGGAAGTCCAGTTTCACCAATTATCATTATCCAAAGAATTTAACAAATGCTTACCTTCAAAGTTGGAAGTTTTTCTTATCTATAAAACTAAAATCACCTAATGTTAAAAGTCCCCAGGGACTGACAGACCATATAATCATTAATCATAATCATTTACACTCCAGTGGTTTATGCAAATCCTAGTGGTTTTCTAGTAGGAAGCATAATCTTCAGTTACCATTCATCTATTGTGTTTTATCAAAAAGTACTTTTCTTTAAAAAAAAATTTGAGACTAGATAATAGACTTCTTTGTGTTCTATTTGGTTTTTCTGTTTTAAGTTTAGCATGCTACACAAAAGACCCAGAAAAAAATTGTGATAAAAAGTAAATATGTATAATTATCTACTGGTAAATCAGCAACACTTCCACAATTAAATCCTCCAGAAGCAAAGGGAAATGCTACATTCTGCTTAAACACAATTAAAGGAAAAGCATGAGCTTGGGCTTGGTTAAGAACAGAGTTCTCCTTTTACCAAGTCTCTAAGACATAGTGAGAGGAACAATTATGTGCCAACGTCCTCTACAAATTTTTCTATCAATAAATAAACAACACTAAATCCAGTTCGCATTCTGAGATCACTGAAAGGATATTATTATAAAATATAGTATCACCACTGATTTTGAGCATCTTTGACGTTTATCTATAGGTTCTTGCTAAAAGCCACTTACTAAAAACAAATGCAACTTTAAGAGGCAAGAGTGGTAAACCTTGAAATATTAGTCTCTTCTCAAAGTACATAATAAGCTTTTTAATTATGCATTGTATATCTGTAAAGTATACTTGTTGAGTTGTACATCTGTCAAAAAAGAAAAATTTTGACCCTTGAAAATAATAAACAACACATTTTTATCACACTTGATAGCCTGTGTAGAAACTATCAAAGTCAACTGGCTCCAATTTTCATAGTTCTGCTCAACAGAAATCTCCTGCTGTGCTGAGAGGTAAGAGTGAATATGATCAAAATAATACCTTGCCTAAGGAAATAAAACCATCAACCTTAGTTCTTCACAGGATGAGTCCTTTTTATATTTAGGAAAATGGACAAATCTCAAAAAAATCAAATTATATTGTAAGTGTACAGATTTATTTATATGTCAGAAAAGAAATGGTATGAACTGATTTTTTTCCTTGACTGAATTATAAAAAGTTTGTATCTTCTATTTTTTTTTATGTCTTTTAGATCTGAAAAAAAATTCCAATGACAGAAATGATCAGAGTTGAGAGATATCTCAAGGTCATCTAGTCAAAGAGAATCAATGAAAAAAAAGTTAGGTAAGAATTTTGCCAAATAACATTTCTATTGCTGAACATTATTCTCTGATTCTCTATCAAACACAGAGTAATTAGATGTTTCTGATTATTAATTTCAAGGCATACATGAAGTCAGCTGAAATTAAGCAAAAAGCAGCAGTTCTAATTTTCCTGGATGAATAAATCCATATCTCTGCCTATATATGTATCCCAACAACACAGAAAACTTGGGTGCAAAGTAGATATTATAAAATATATAAAAAATATAAATGAAAGTATGCAGGTAAAATGTATATATAGCACTGATATACTATAAATATAAATGAAATATAAATATAAAATATAAATATAAATGAAAGTATGC